GACGGCGTTTAGACGTTCCTTGAATGTCAGCACCTGATCCCGCTCAATAACGGCGAAGGTGCCGTCCACATACCGAGCCCAGAATTTCGGTCTGTTGTGTCGGAAAACCAGCGACCAACCGCTGCAGCACCGCCTCTGCTATGAGTCCGGAAATAGGCGAACCCATGGGTGTGCCCTTCACCTGCTCGTAGATAGTTCCATTTAAGTTGAAGTACGCCTTGAGGCAAGAATGCATACGTGTAAGGTATGAAACCACCCGCAATATATGTGGCTATGCGTTAAATTGGGGTAAATTTAGGTGTTAGATTAAGGCGAGGGTCAGGTCCGAGTTTGACATTAGTTCGTGTTAGGGTCTGAATTATGGTAAGGATTAAAGTTTGGGTAGAACTAGGGTTACGATTAAGGTTGCAGAAGTAGAAAATGCGATCGCTGGAGCAAGAAGTTTAGTTGACTGACAGTTCGGATTCATTCGAGAACTCATCCTCAAAGTTGGCCGTAGAATACTGTGATAGATGCACTGATAACGCAGTATTTAGAGTTCCTATCGGCCATTCGACCGCATGCGCGCTATAATTATCAGCTCTAGTAACCACCGCTGGGGAGTCGTAGTTGGTGCGATGATGAATTGGCTGTCCGCTTCCGAGTCATTAATTGCCGCAATTTCGTCCTCCGTGTTGGATGTGGGCTTGACAATTACGCGACAATTATGTTAGCTGCCGTAGAAATTGTTGATGATTCCCGCCCTTCTCGTGTGATTGATTCCCCTGCTGAGACAATGTATCAGTACGGAGTATGGTAACGGCAGGTCGTTGCGTTTGTTCGTTTTCAGTGGGCCTGATAAGCATGCGTCAAGCTCACACGGTTGTCACCTCTTGTAGGGATTTCGGCCGGTCCCGTCAAGTGAGCTGCGACTTGGGAGTTAGCTTCTTTCCTCCTCCTTCTCACCGCCGCTGCGTGCTCGGCCATTCGTGCCCGGAGTAATCTCCACAAATAAACTTCTTGTTCCAGCGATCGCATCTTACGCGGATATTCACTTTACGATGGAGGAAGAAGGCAACGACCAGCCAGCCTTAGTGTAAGAGTTAAAACATGGGAATATGCATCCTACCTGCAGTTGATCGCAAGGCTACTTGGCGTCTCTCCTTCCGTTTCCTGTTTAGATGGCCAGAGAATTCATCATAACCTGCCCGGTCCGCATGGAATTCTCTTAAAAAGGAGTTTGCAAGACAAGTGAATGGATTTGGTTTTTACATCTTATAGTAGCTACTTAATTGTATTAAGTACCTTAGGAGATTTAAAGTAGAGAACAGTAGCAGTCAGAAAGACTAGCCTGCGACTGTGGTGTAAGTCATTCTCTTTCCAATATAACTTTCAATTGATGTCGTTTAGCTGCGTGCCATCCTCGCTCTCGGACCATATCCAGCATTCCAGGAGGCATCATTCGCTTGTGTTCAGGGCTCTGTTATTGCTCAACTCCAAATCAATGTGACCTTCAGTAGCGGAGTAGTAGATGGCAATAATACGTCAGCAGACGCCTTCATGCAACAGCTATGGGCAGGGATCCAAGCAAATTTTCTGCAAGGCACCAGTCCGAAGCTCTCGACTATAATGACAACATTCGGTGTTACAGGTAAGAAAACTTTTCATTTTGGTTGGTTATGCGAAATATACTAGGATACATAGAGGTATTTGGATATATTTCTGAAAAACTTGAACCTGCTAGCCATCGAACATGGAAAACATAAATAATGGAAGCATAGTAAAATTCGAGACTGGTGGTTGGCTTCTGTCTTCACTTGTGTAGAGTTTAATACCGTAAATAAAAGAGACTAAAACATATATTCTAATGCACAGCTACTACTACTTCTATAGATGAAATGGTTTCCATGAACGATGAGGCCAGCGCCACCTGGCAACCATCTGCTACCACCGGCACTCCTGCCCTGCCTGAATGCTCCGATACTACTCCTGCAGATACAGCAGCTATTGACGAGATGTCGACAACCATGACAGATGCCATGACCACAGAATTGCAGCAGCCTTCAACTGCTACCGCTGTGCCTACGGCTGCTGTATCCACTGCCGCCCCCAGTTCATATGCAAGCATCACCGAAGAGATCACTGCCATGACCGAAGAGGCCAGCACCACCTGGCAACCATCTGCTACCTCCGGCACTCCTGCCCTGCCTGAATCCTCCGATACTACTCCTGTAGATACAGCAGCTATTGATGAGATGTCGACATCCATGACAGATGCCATGACCACAGAATTGCAGCAGCCTT